AACCTTGAAAACTTTTTACATGCAAAAGTTTATCGAAAGGGAAAAGAAAGAACACCGAACGAATATTAAAGACAAGTAAGCCTTCGCTACATGTTTGCATCGGTGTTGGAGTCTGTGCCAGACAAAAGCGAAAAAGCTGAAGAACCCAAAACGCAAGAATACATCAAGGCGTGTAAACAATATTGAAAAGTTTAATCGCTGGCAACACGTCAAAGTTGCGTTTGCTGCTTGGAAGTGTTTGTTGCCGAACATGTACGGCTTTGCGGTTTGTCTGTTCGTTTCCTTTTTATATCCTTATGCGACTTTCGGAATTTTGTTCTGCGCTGCCTCTGCTGACAGTCGAGTAAGCTTCTGCACAGTTTAGCATGCGGAAACATCTGGGCGGAAGTCTGGGAAATCTGGCTGTTATGATGTGTTTGTGATACGGTTTGAATATTGTTTCATTGATACGAATACCGTGTTACATCGATGAGTGGCTTATAAAAACTTTGAAGTAACTTGCAGAGTTTGTGGTGCACAGTGGGTATTTTTTTGGAGAGTGTCTTTTGTAAATTGAATACCTTTTTATAAWTATGGGGGCTAATTTCTATAAGTTAGTTGAAATTTGCAAAAGTCCTGTCTTAACTAATATTATGGATAATAAAAGTGAAAATTTTAGGAGAATTGCGATTTATAGTCTCTCTTTACCATTATACCCTTGCTTCTATAACCTGTCTGAAAAATACGCTTTCTGGAGGTTTGCAAAGTATGCGAGCCACATTTTCAAGTTTGAATAAAAAAGTCGCATCAGGGCAAATCTGAAGAACTCGATGGTTTGAGCTCGTTTTACTTACCAGTTTGCGTTGTAATGTCAGGTTTTTTCCTCCTCAATTGGTGTCGAATCAGCCCAATAATTGMTTTAGTAGAGTCCTCAAACTATTTTTCCTATTTTTAGGTTGTCGATCTGGTGAATCTCAGAGAACGGTAGCCATTACCTTTACKGCCGGCCGATGGTGCAGTAGTTTCMYTTTTCGGAGATTGTTCGCGGATGAAATTCGCCCGAACACTGTTCGTTGGTTCCTAGCGCTTACCAGTGGTTATTTATTTCGTTTGACTATTCCCTCAGCCATTTTGCGGACCGGCAGTAGGCGATCCCTCAATACGAGCTCTTGGACTCTTGTCACGCTTTCCTCTGCGATGGCCGTTTTCGAATYACGTAGGCGTGGCTTTACAAAGATCAATTGTGTTACCTCTTTGAAATCTGTAATTCGTTAAATTTTTGACGGTCGCCWTCGAAGGAAAAGGTTCTACGTGTAAAGCGTTCAAGCGGTCTTCGATTCTCTTCCTGATTTTCAACTCGTTTAGACTATTCTAAAATCCTCGGACGCGTCCGTCTTCTTCCTTACTAGCGTAGACACAGCTTACGCCATTATAGCCGAGTTAACAACAGCGCGCCAGTCGTTTCTTCTTTTCGCTACGTGGCGCCAATTGAATACTACAAGCGAAGCCAGGTCCTTCTCCATTTGGTCCTTCCAATGGAGTGGAAGTCTTCCTCTTCTTCTGATTTCCCCGGCGGGTACTGCGTCGAATACTCACACACGGGTGCTGCGTCTTCACACAAAGTAAAAAATCGATTTCGGAGTAATTTAGATCTYTCCATGCATTCCTAATTGCCACATCTCCACCGAATCAGCTCATAATATGAAATGTGAAACATATGGCAGCCAACATTTGCGGCATACAGGCTATGATAGTACTTCACAATATCCGTATTATGCCGACTTTCATACTCTTATTTTTACCCTCTGCTATTCTTATAACGAGTATTTATTTCCTTTTTTGTTCTGCCCTGAATTTCGGTTTAATGCATTTTATGTTTCATATTTTTCTATTATCTCGAATAATTCATAAATTATGTATATTCTTTTGTGCTTGTGCATTTAACATTCAGCCAATATTTGTTTTCACTCTMTAATGCCGGTGTAATCGTACATTTATCAAACAAAAGTTGATGCGAACTCCACTTGTAACTTTAAAGAGGGTATTGTTAAAGTGGCTTTTGTAGAACATCTTGTAGAAAATCTTTTCTCTTACAAAAACTTCTCTTAGGTTAGGTTAGGTTAGGTCAATGAGCCACCTATAGACCAGTTTTGGTCCTTTGCGATACCAGATGGGACCGCAGACACAGTGTAGTCTTGCCAATGCGGGACAAGTGCGCCAAAGATGCTCCAGTTCAAAGGATACTTGCAAATTAATGAGAAAATTTGCACGATTCTGTTTAGTATTTTATTTTAGTCAACTTAAATATGGAGGTTACTATTATTTCTTTGATCATCTTATGTCAACTGTATGTCGTATAGTCAATGATAATGCTGTATTGTTCGAACAAAATACTGCGTTTTGAGACATTGTCCTTGAGCYTTATTCGTTCACCTTTTCATTTGAAGAAAAAAAAAAACACATTTATATTTTATTTGTG